AATGATTTTAGGAGGAAATGTTGAGCTTAAATTATAAGATAAAAGAAAATTTTGCGCTTAACAAGTAGCCGTAAACAACATGCACGTGTATGCATAATTTGCTGCAGGGTACCGCGTCAACGAATGCGATAACAAATTCGAAAACGGAATTGTTTTTGTGAAAAAGTTTCGAGATCGTAATCGTAACTTCAATTATTCAAATTACAAAGAGCTCGTGACGTTTCATTAGACAAACTTTGGCATCGCTAACAACCTATCAACTCTTACTATATATAAAAGGTGAAAGCCAACACAATATTTTTTCATTCATTCAGTTTCATAAACTCCTTTATATTTTTCACAGTCCACCGTCACTTTGACAAAGTGATAACGCTTCGCTTATGAAAAACTTTCTGACGCCTACGGTGAAGACGTCTTGTCAGAAAAATCAGCAGCTTATGCAAATCGTTTCCATGTTTTCGCTTTAGAAATTTCGATCTCAAGGATGTGCACTGATTGTCTGATCGTCCAATGATTGATGAAGTTGATAAAATTCTTCCAAAAAAAAAAAAAAAAAAAAAAAAAAAAAATGCGGAGTGCTGACACAATCTTATGACATCGTTGCAGAACTAAACGTTTTGACCCGTTTTGAATTGGATAGAAAAGAAGTTCGAAATTTGGCTATCAATTTGGCATATCAATCAATTGTGAAAAATTCAATGGACCATGTTATGCATTTATCGACTGAGCATAACTACCATCAAGTATGGTTTTCCGCAATTAAATTTGAATCCGCGAAAATTGACTTGGTAATCGCGCCTCCTATCAACTTGTTCGATCAGCAATCTCCGAATCTCCGATAGCTGTCGAAAAGAAACGAAACATAGCCCTTTTTGTAGATGAAAACTGGATTACATGCGACAAGAATTTTGGATCATGATCCTAGATAGGTGAAGTTGTGCAAAAAAAGAAGCAAACTTAATCTGGCAGCCATATAAGGTAAAGTTTTGGTGGACAGGATCAGGTATCCTCTTGTGAGCTTTGTTGAATGCGTTTTACTGGGACCTTAAACTAACTGTTTGTTATAACATTTGCTTCGCCCTCTGCAAGACCCTGATCATGTTGTAACACAACTGACTGTTGCCTGTGGAAACCACTTTCAGTTCTTCATTCGAAATTTCGAAAAGGTCTTTTGGGAATGGCATAACGGCTCTACAAGAAGAAGATACACCACTTAGTTGATAGTTGAAGAACTATATTAAGAAAACTTTTCAAAATAAATTGTTATAGGAGAAATGGTCGAAATGGTTCCGGTCCGAACCAGCGAATCGAATAGATTTCTTCCTTGGTCTGGAACGCGACACGTCAAACCAAATTTCAATCAAATCAAATCAAGACTAGCTGATAAGCTTCAATCGATTCAGAAAGTGATTCTGACTTGATCGGTGTAATGAACGATGGGTCTATCTCAAGTCTTTTTAGGTGCCCCATACATCCGCACAAACTTAAAATACCCTTCTACCAAAAGTGGCGTAAGGTGTAAAAAAAGTCATATTTCTGCCTTATAAGGTCTTGCTGTTCTTTCAAATTTGGAATTGCAGGACGGTTCCGTGATAATGCTGTCTATGCGTACCTAACAATACATTTACGATTGCCTTAAAATGTTTTTGTGTATGCAGTGATCGTAGGATATCCTGCACGGCCCATAACTATTGAATACCTTTATTAAATTTATGGTTATCGGCCTGAGTGGCCGAGCACGCAAGAGTCTCGACTAGCAACTCAATGGTCGTGGGTTCAAATCTCAAACGCGGTAGAGTTTTTAATAAAGCCGAAAGCCTTAGATGCTAGTGATTTAAGATTTTAGTCTTAGAACTTTTTCTCTGACTAAATTTATAATAATAATAATAATAACAAATTTATGTTATGTCGAAATTTATATCAAACAAGTTTTGGATATCATCTCTCAGATTAATCTGGCTCTGTTTACGGATAGATCGCGCTTATGCTATAACTTGACTCGACAATGTAGATATCCAATTATAGATTTTCATCTCAAATTTTCCGGTTTTGAAACTTAAGGAATATAAAGGGCCAGGCGAGCAAGCCTATAATAAACATTGATTTGTGGTCATAGGCGGATCCAGAGTTCATTGGCTTTTCCGTAATACTCAATGTCAATGGAAATGCTACAATGGGGAATTCGGGTGAAGTTGTTGAGATGTTTAAGAAATTAACGGAAGACCGAAAAAAAATATGGAAGACTTCTATGTCGATCAAAAGTATTCATGTTAAGCATCCTTCCATTTCTTTTCTTTTCTTTCATTTCCAATACTAAAAAAGGCAAATAGACATTTTTTGTAAGCATTTTCGGTGTTCTCTGGAGCTTCTACACAAATCACCAAAAAAAAAAAAAATGTTTATATTATTTTAATTACTTAAAACCCTTTATTTAATTTTTTCTTAAAATTATATTCTTTTTTTTTAACAATTTTTAATCACTTTAAAAATGCAATGATGATATTTCAAAAAACCATGGAATTTATTTAAAAAAAAAAGAAAAAGAAAAGGTCTACTTATTCATCTTTGTCTTGCTCTTGGATCTTGTTAGGCCAGACTGTATCCAACTTAAAGCAATTATCAGGCATCAAGTAAGGCTAAAATGAAGATGAAGATGAAAACCAAAAACAAATTTTATGAGCTTCCAAACCGAAATATTATATAGAAGAAATACGATAATGTCTTAGAAGATAAATCGTGCATTAAAAGAATATGCTAAGGTGGAGCGAGTTAGCACCTCTCATATACGCGAGAAACAAAATTAATTAGTAAAGTTTTTAATCATTAGGAATGAAGAAAAGGTAGGTAATAAAAATCTACATGAAACAAGGGAAAAAATTATATTCGGACAATGCCGATCATTACATACCCTACATCCCTTTGACTAACATAGCTCCTATCCTAGACTTTTCTGGTCTACAAAGGATCAATTTTCAAGAAAATCTTCATAGGGGTAGAATTCAAAAAATATGCCGAGATGGTCCAAATTTGCTATAATTAATTTTTTTATCTTAAATTACTATTATGACCTGATTATTATCATCATTAAGCATTGAAAAGTAGACAATTTTGTGTTATGAACTTTAGTTTTCTTTGCATGAGAGGGGGTTAAAAAATTACCCCAGCCGGACCAATGTTTTTATATCAATGTAGAATGCTGAAATACTTAGCCACGTTTGCTAAAAAATTTTAAAAATAGCAATTCTTTTCTATATAACGTCTTTCAAAATTATTATAGGAGGAGTGGTCAAAAAAGTAGACCGTTCCGCACCATTTTCAACAGAGTTCGTGCTTAGTTCAAAACAAGTCACTGTACCACATGTCATCATAATATTGCCAAAATTTGGGATATTTAGCGAGACAGACATCAGACGGGCAGAGGGACGGACAGGTTCAGATCAATTCAGTTTCTGAATCGATTGGTATAATAAAAGGTGAGCATATCTTAATCCCTTCTGGGTATTATATACGTCCGCACTAGCTTAATATCCCCTGTACCACAAGCGGTAGGGTGTAGATATAAAAAAATGTTTTTCTATATATATTCAATATACATATCATATAAATAGAACATATATAAAACATATATATACTTATATATATTTGTAAAATATATATAAATGTTTTATGTTTATGAATTTCTTCTTTTCGGGTTTACGTGGCTCATATTCTTATAAACAGTCACCATGTGGCTCACATTCCCATGAAAGGCTACTTACGTACTAAGCGAACTTTGGATACCAAAAATCCTAAGTGAAAATATTGACAAGAGTGTTTCTATATTTTCCGAATTCATTGGTGTTTATTTGAAATTTTTATATGATTCTTATAAAATGCTGCAATTCGCTGGAGTGAAGGCTCACTGCGGCAAGTTTTGGAATAATCGTGAATGAATGCAATCTTAGATCAACACATTAAAGGAAACAAGCGTTTTGTTTAATTGTGGACTTTTTCGGGTGAAAAGATCTTAACGACATAAAATGATGACCACAAGCACAGAAGACTTATTCAAGTCAAGTAAAATCGCGGTGTAGCTTATGCTTTAGCCAGTTCACTTACACTGTTCCGACGATCCAGATTTATGTAGGTGACAATGGCTTGCGTGAGTTAGGAAGTGTTGTCCCTTATTCTTCGATTTCCTTCCTAATTTATTATTTTAAAGCGACTAGAAAACATCACAGAAACTTGCATTGCTTCGTTTTTAAAATAAATACACCAAGGGAGTCTAGGAAACTCGACAACTTTTTCTTCAATTTTCTCACTTGAGATTACAGAGTAATGTTCTCCAATAATGCCGATCGAAATTGTGACCTAAGCAGAAAGAGTACAAATTTAATCTTTTTCTTTCGGATGGACTAACCTCTTCGGTGCCTGTCAATCCGTCTTCTTACACTTATCATAGCAATTTTTAAGCAATTATGCAAAGAGTGGGGGAAGATCACGACGTTATATTTGGAAGTGAATGCATCAAGCGTCAATTTCCTAAATGAGCTTTCAAACACTGTGGGGAAGCCCTCAGTAGGCATGGGTATACGAATGGAGGAAGACCAAAGTTTACGGCTATATGTCTTTAAGGACTGTCTGATGACTACTTCTGGTTGCCCCCAAAGTAATTTCAAATTCTTTTTGCCTTTAAGTTTTTAAGCTTAGCTTTGCTTTTTGATTTTCTAACTTACCACCACTATCGCTAGCAGCGATCCTATAACAGTGCCAGCTAACACATCCGACCAATGATGTTTATAGTCCGATACACGACTTAATGCAGTATACCAGGCAACCATAATAAAACAAAATTGCAAGAAATGTCGTAACAATTTCGAACCTTGCCAAGTCATGCGCGATTGTAAATACATCTAATAAAGGGAAAAATCAAAAATATATAGATATATATAAAAAAAAAATAAATAAATAAATAAATTTTCAATAGAAAATTTTTAAAATTCAATACTAACCGCCAGATAAACCATGGTAAAGAAACTGAAACTTGAATGACCGCTAGGAAACGACAAACGAGCCTCTTTCAGCATACGCTCCGTAGAACCTAAACCCTTACAATGAAAATCCATAATATATTTATGTTGATTTAAAAAGCTGGCACACGTAGTTCCATCAGGCATTATCGGTTGACAAACCTAAAAGAAAAACGAAAAGAAAACGAAGATTAACATTATTATATATTTTATTTTATTTAGTAATAAAAGGAAAACAAAAACAGGTAGATATACTATACTATACTTTCACTCTTAACGGCAAATGGTTTTCCTTTTGAAGTGTTTGTATAGCCATCGCTGAAGAATAAGCGGCATAATCATTTTTTCAAAACGTTTGCAACGCCCAGAAGTAAACTTCAGAAATCCCATACAGACATATATTCTTGACCGGCATTAAATTCTGAATCGAATCAAGCCTGTCCGTCTGTCCGTCTGTGTAATATGTGTTGTGATCATTCTCCTGGCCGCAAAAATGAAGTTATCGGCTTCACAAACATTGTAAGCTCACGCACGCAGATTGGTATTGAAAATGTCTAAATCGGTCTAAGGACACGCCTGCAATAGTATATAATTTGCCGGGCTTCTGCTTTTCGAAACGAACAAAAAATTGGATTTTTGCTTATTACTCATGAACTATAGCAAATAAATCCCCAAAAATACGCTAGAAACAATCGTTCGACCCTGTTCAAGTTTATAGTGCGTCATACCTTGGATTTGTTTCAAAACTGTTATAACGAACAAATGCAAGCTTCAAAAATCTATAAATTCTTGGCCACTTTCAAATTCGAAATATACTTAAGCATGTCCGTCCCTTCGTCCGCGTAATTGTGCACTAACATTGTCCCTTTCGTAAAATAGAAGATATCGCCTACAAAGTGCCAAAGCATTTGGAAATGACAAACACTTTTCCAAAGACGCGTCTACAACGTTCACAAGCCTATGTAACAAAAGCTATGAACACTTTTGCTTTCTGTGATTCTTGCTTTGACTTAATTTCCACTAAAATAGGAAAAACCATCCGCGATGGTGATGGCGACCCTGTATGCCTTTACAAAAATGGAAAAGTCGGCCACGCCTATCCAATGTTGTAGGGTATTAAAATTTAATTTTTCCTTATCACCTTTATTATGCGCAGAAGCGTGCTCCAAAAACCCCATACAATATATAGATTCTTAACCAGTTTGTACAAATTTCGAATGCACCTAACCATGTCCGTCTGTCCGTTTATGTAATATCTGTGATAAATATTTCCTCGTTAGCAAAAATGAACTGACTTAAACTTTTTCGAGGGCACGCCTACAACGTCCACATGACTATACGACGAAAAGCTTTATTTTGAAAATGGAAAAAATCAGCCGCGCCCACTTCATATTATAAAGTATGAAAAATTAATTTTTCTCCTCTTTAGAATAATGAGGATGGGTATAAAAAAATCGGTCATGACTGAATATAATTTTTTTCTCTGTTTTTTTTTTTTTTTTTTTTCATTCAATCTCGAAATTTTTGAAGACAATGTCTTTTGGTTTTTTGTTTTTTTTCTCATCTATATAATGCTTCTGCTTTCTTAGAAAAACTACTAATATTTTATGAATATACGTTTTACGATTTGTTTCGTTTGCTAATAACTTGGTTTCATGCTATCTGATCTTCACTTTAACGACATCACTGTCATTCATTTCTTTTGAATTCACTGAAATAATTTGGATTAATGATCTTTTCACACCGGGTCTTAATGTTTATTGTTATTCTGCCTTGCTGCTGTTTTACAAATGTCTTGCGTTACAAAATCGTGAGAAATACCAGTTTGCTAATAACTTGGGTGGTATTGCGACTGCATTGGATGATTGCCTTAAGATTCACAAAAAGTCTTATGTAAGCCTTCAAAGGAAGACGTTTTCTTTTTTTTGATTTCTTTTTTTTTCTTTTTTTTTTATTGTTGCATGATGTTGTTATTGAATTGTTGATCATTAATCTAAATTAACATCTTTGTGGGGAAGGGTTTTATACTCAATAAGTTTAAGGAGGGGTCAGGTTGTATGGAAAATAAATGACTTTCTGCCTGTTAAAGGTTTCACTCACGTCTAAATGAAAAATGGTTGAAACAGTATACGAAATGAGTTGAGTCTGCACAAGAAATAATAAGTTTATAGAAAAAAAAAGTAAAGAAAAAAAAAGTTCAATTAAAAGTTTTTTAAGATTTTAATGTTTATATAAAGATATATATATATATAATCATTGTATGGAGATGGAAAGTCCCGGAACTAATAGCTTTAAGAACAGTTAACTTCATTAACATGAAAAGCTACAGATTTATTATAATAATTAATAGTCGACTATTTTTTTATGGTAGACTTTTTTTATGCCTACAAAATATGCATTTTCTTAGGAAATCCTTTGTTACTCGAATCTCTTGTTTGCTTTGAGACAATAATTTTGAAATGATTACCAAATAATAATCTCCCGGCTTTAGATATGAAAAATGAAAGGAGTCACAGACCCATTTCTAATTTCGTAACTAATGGTGAAAAATACTAACATATTAGTGTTGTCATTGCGTTTGTAACACTGAGAAAGATAGCTTAGAGACTTCATGAGACAAAAGATATATGTATATAAGTGTGTATATTTAGTATATTTGTTTGTACTTTGATTTAGTTATGTCCACCCGCCTGTTATTCGTGTTTTCTCAGTCCATTTAATACGGCCTGTCCATTTTCCTATCTCCCCCCATTTGTCTGTCCAAGCACGATTTTCCTCAACGCACACTTTTTTGACATTACGTACAATGACTCTATTGCAAGCGAAGTGAATTGAACCATCTTCACGGCTACTCGATTACTGTTGCTATTTCCTATTTCAAACAGGTCGATCGTTATATGAAAAATTCTGGAAAACTCGCTGGAATACAAAACGAATAGAAAAAATATTAAAGGAAATCAAACCTCTTTTTCAGTCCGTTCCAATGTAAATAGTTTCCCCTAAAATAACACCTTCATGTGCCAACAGAACTTAATTTTTAGTATTTTATGTTTCAAAAGAGGGATTTAACCTATAAACTTTCTTCGAATAATATGAGCCCAAGTATACGTTAACCTTTTCACGAAAAACACACCTTCGTAGGGCAACAATGTGTCATTTTTCGTATTTTTGATGAAAATAGATAACCAATCATACATTCTTCGCTAAATCTGGATCACTAGAGTTCACGTCTTGGGCCTTCTGCCATATAATCGCTTCTCTGACAATAAGATGCAATTTCTGTTACTGTCTGATCAAAATAGATTTTGTATAAAGGATTATATTAGACGAAGTGGTGTAGAGTATGTAAAATTTGCCTTTATCCAGCCATAACGTTGATCAGTTTTCTTTTGGTTGAATACCTATAGCTTTAAGAGACGTAGGATATATAAATGCATAGTTTTTCTTATATTTTTTTAAATTTGGTCACTATTTTTAAATAACAAATAACACCAACCAAAAGGCTTTTAAAATATTGAGCTAAGGCGTTTTCAATTCGTAGGTCGGGCTTTAGGTGGTGTGCGTGAATTTCTAAAATTAGTTCGGGGTTGTTCTTTCTTGATTAATGACAATGATATCGGCAAGCACACGTGAAGCAGGAGTGCATTGACAACTACGGGGTATGGTTGTCTTTTGGGGTAGGTTACTCTTTATTACAGGCCTATTGCTTACTTATAGTTATTTTTAGATCACCTTCCTCCTTCCTGCCCTCACATTCAAAACCTTCATGCGATAAAGCCTCTCTCTTAAATAAATTATCCATCGTGTAAATCAAGTGGAGACTGTACTCGTAAAGTGCTTTATGGCTGATATAGCCGAAATGAAGTCTTAATACCCCTAAAACAAGTGAGAAAGTTATATTCGGCAGAAGCCGAATCTCGGATACCCGCCACTATGTGTTTCGCAGTCTACTCTCTAAGTTCTTTTGTTTGATACCCATATCGCTGGTATTATTAAGAAAAAATTAATCGCGATGTCTACCATATTTATCTTCAAATTAATCTATTTTTAGGCAGATAATATATCTTCATTTAAGGAGTGTACAAAATAATTTTAAACATTCTGTCTTGTTTGTCTTATGATAAATAAGCATAAAATCTCAAAAAAGTGAAAAAAATAAAATTTAATTACTCGTAACCTTGTGCGGGCATGGTCGATTGGTTTCATTTTTGAACCTAAAGAGTAGAGTTTTTCGTAAAGTAAATGTGGAAAATTTTGGACTTCTAACTTTCATAATCTCCGAGTGATGAGTAAAACTCCACAAATTTTTTTTAAAAAGAACTGAATTGCGTTCAGTTTACGCTCCACTGCGCGCTTTCGCTCCGACCGATTTGGGCCATTTTCAATGCTAGCTTGCATGAAGAAAGTTTCAATATTTCTACCAAATTTTCGGTCGATATCTTCATTTTTGCGATTAGTAGAGTGGCAACAACATACCTTACGGACGGACTGACGTGGATAAATCAACTCCGGATTTCACTTTGATCAAGAATATATATATATATATATATATAGGGTCTTGGAAACTTCCTTTTGGATTCTATATTCATAAAAAAAAAAAAACGAAATGAGTATAACCCCACATCTTATAGTGGTGGATATAAAAATAAAATGAGATAAAGCACTCTTGAGAGTTCCTGACCTAGATAAAGACTTTAGATAGCGCTAAGTTTTTAACACATAATTTCTCATCACCATAGGAGAAAAAAAGTGCAAAAAAAAATTCATAAATAATAAAACAAAGAGTCGAAAAACGCAAAGGGTTGTTCAATGTCATGCACAAAGCATAATATATACAAAATACTTGTAAATGATTATCCCCGAAAGAGTCAAACAAGTTGATTGCTTTTATGCAAAAGGGGACATCAACAGCTGCTACAATATATATATATATATATATATATATATATGTGTGTGCATATGAATAAAATAAGTAAAATGAAATTTCTTTAAGCAAAATGACTATTAAAAGAACTCTCTAGTCCCGTCATTAACTTTAAGTAACAAAAAGGGAAGGCAACCATAAATGCTTGTAAGAAATTGAATAAAATAAGCAAAAAACAAGTGTAATTTACTTTAACCCACTTACATGAAGAAGAGCTTACGTTTTTTTTTTTTTTTTTTTTTTTTTATACTTTTGAAAATTCATTGAGAATTTTTTTTATTTTTCAAGTCTTTTAGTTATACTATACATATAATTTAATGGCAAAAACTCTTTACTTGTTATGCTTTATTGACACAGAAAATGAGAGGACTGATGGATGACGAGGCAATAAAAACATCAATTCTCGCTCATAAAATGAACCCTTTCTTCTTGTTTACATACGAAACGAAAACTAAGTGCTTGACATGTGTTTTCTAGTTTTATGGACTACTTATCCTTTTTCTTCTGTTTTTTTTTTTTTTTTTTTTTTTTGTAACAAGAGACAAATTCTCAGATAATTATTAACAGATGTGTGTTTTATTTGTGAAATAAGTGTAAAAATAATATATAAATTGACTTACCGCGAAGAAATGCGGCCGTAATCGTCCTATAGAATATTTTGCAATATCCGTTGTTAGCTGCGTTACAAGTACACCGAAACCAAAGATACCGATTTTTTTATAAGCCTCTAACATCCAATCGGGAATTTCATAATCCATGAACACGTAACGTCTTGAGGTAGAATTTCCATTCGATATCCTTTCATTGTGTCGAGATTGTAATATTTCAACTAATAACATCTGTAAAGTTATAATAATAAAATCAAGAATTTAGTGTGAGAAGGAGAAAGGATTCATAATAAATTAGAATTTTTCTTGAATGAAAATAGGGTAGAGCCTACCCTTACACAATGCCTTTTCCTGTAAAGATAAATTTATTGTTAAATAAGTATTTGGTAATAGCAGAGGTTCCCTGAAAGATTCCTGATAACTGATATAGGAATAAATTAGTAGCAGTTTTGCAAGGACAAAAAAGGAAAAAGTCTTCTCTATGCAACTGCAAGTGTAGCAAAAGTTATATGCGTACGTGTGTGGGGATATTTTGACAGACGAGGTCCTGTCATTTTATATGTGACACCAGCATAGGTATGCTGGTTTCTCAATTGTATATACATTTGTATATTGTATTGATATAAGATAAATTCCGCAAGTCCTTGCTAGTGCCTTAGTGAAACGTACTCAGCAAAAGAAAAATTTCGGAAAAAGCATATACCTGCATACAGACAATGACTGCACTTTGCGCATAGCCGAAATTATCGATCACGAAGCGGCGTTCACTCAGTGCTGTGTTGAGACTTTGATCGGGTTTGATTAATGTAAACAAACTACGACGTATTATCTAAAAAAATTTTCTTTCGACCCACTAATCATAGTAAATGCAAAAAAAAGGGGGAAAAACAAGAAAATTATATTTTTAGCTGTGGCCGAATCGCTTATATGCATTACCTTTACTTTAAGAAAATTCTTTAGTCTCTCTGCCTATAATTCTGCTTGACCACTACCATGACTACAGGTATAGGAAATTAAGTGGCTGGTCATGCGTATATACGTACCTGTCTATACATACATATCTGTCTAATAACATATGTAAATATAATATACATAAAGAACATTCACAAGAAAAATATAAAATTTTGGATAGTTTGCAACATTGGATAGATATGGGTGACTTCTCGCTTTTTTTCTGGTCACTTTACGATAGCGCATACTCACTTCTACGTAGTTAAAGGACTTGATTGCTTCCGGGTGAATCCTGTATTATATAGGAATCGTTTTGGGGCAACGACATAATATCTACCAGCAATAAAAGAGATCACCTACGGTATGAAATGTTCAACATAAGAAAGAAAAACGAATGTAGCGGAGCGGTAGAGAGCGTGTCGTTTTTCTTATCATTCCTATCATTAACCATTACGAGCGGACTTAGTTGGACTAGTGTTCTTTACTATAAAAGTATGTCGGTACATTGCATTTTTCGAGGGTGGTTTGTTTTTTTGACGCTCTCATTTACAGAAAAAAGAGAGAAGAAGAAGAAACATTATAATGAGTCAAGACTCACGATTAAATACTCTCTGCACCACTTCGCTTAATACAGTTATTCATATTATGACTTTTGGCTTAGTGCACATTAACTCAACATCCAAAAAAAAAAACAAAAAAAAAAAGAAGAAGTTATAACGACTTTTCAAAATGGGATATTATATGGGAAGTAGTCGAAAAGTAGGCCGATCCAAGCCAATTTGCGGGACATTCATCCTAGAACTGAAACATATCGATGAGCCAAAACTGTGATCTGTAGGTTGAAGATTAAGAAAAAAAAAAAACGAAATGGACAGACAGACAGACAGGTTTAGATTCAGAAAATGTTTCTAAATGGGAGCGGTATAATTAAAAGTGGATCTAGAAACTTAATACGCCTTTGTGCCACATTTCGTGTAGGGTATATTGCAATGTAAGATTAGCTTTCAATTCGCAATCGCTGCTTTAGTGTTCTCTTGCTTATGACCATTAAAACAAAGTTTAATTAAATGAATTAAATTGTGTCAATATTTTCCCCGAAGGTGTTATCATTCTATATATATATGAATATTAGCCATGTGTTTTAAATTGTTTATGCATAGTATAATTTTTTTTTTTTTAATATTTTAAATTTCATTTTCCTTTAGGGAATTGAAATAAAAATTAATTTTTTTTGCTTTAATAGACTTCAACTTCAAGATCATGTACCAGATTCTTTTAGTTTTTTTTTTTTTTTTTTTTTTTTTTTTTTTACAACAAAAAAAAAAAAAACTTGACCATGGAAATGATAATATCTTAATGACCACAATTAATGTACGTATCAATAACCTATTTATAGTTAAATGATTTATAACTGAACCTAATTGCTTGATTCATGTTTATGGCCGAGACCATTCTCGAGAGTGGTTTTCATACACATTCATATACTACCGTATGAATATGGAAATATATAAATGCCCTTGATTTTATGTAACAATGGTTTCCATTAAAGTGTATCCATAAATTGGCATTTTATAACAACTGCCTGCTCCTTCAATGCAATTGCTTTTGATTCAATGGTTCAATATCCCAATCGTGGAGAGTTCATGTAACTTGTAAGTCTATTAACAAATAATAACGAATTGCGTCATGTGATTGAATAAAGTATACAATGAGATATAATTGCAAACATATGTCGATAAGTTGTTATTATTATGAAGGCAGCGCGGTAGCTTGGCTTTAATTTGTAAAGTGATGATAATATCAAAATAATATCAAAAGCAAAACATATGTTTTCCGCCTAATGATAATAACAACAACAATTGTTTACAAAAGTGTTAAAAGGAAAATAAATAAGAAAACGATTGTATGTATGTGTATTTGGCTCGTGGCGTTGTTTTCTTTGTTTTTCGTTCGTTATTCAATTATGGGCGTACGAAAAGAGCATACAAGCGCCCATTCTAACAAATATTCGAACATAAGTTTTTCAAATTATTGACGAACATTTTTATTTCTTGATTCGTTTATTCAGATTCGCAGTGTATCCACTTTGTCTAAACGTTTGCAGCACCTCGAAGGGGTAACCTCATAAAGTATAAATATTCTTGCGTCAAACGCAAAACCGATTTATGCCTCTACCCATTTGTTGAATGTCGGTGATGCACGCTCGCCCATTCCGTAGCGGGCTTAAAAAAATGCGCAACAATTGGAAGTTCTTGCACGCAGATTGTTATTGAAATTAAGCCAAATCGGCCACAGCACAAGGCCACAGTACATTGTAACGTGAGACGGCCTCTCTAAAACAAAGTTGATTTTTTGCTTGTTACAAACCACAGCAGATACAACGATTTGCACATATATATGTTATATGTATAGTGCCGCAGTAGCCGTGCAAAGAGGGGAAGAATAGACCACGCCTTCTCAATATTATATTATCATTCTTTTATCGGAACATTTGCAGCACTCAGAAGGGAGTTTAAGAAAACCTTCAAAGTTTGCACGTTATTCATGGGTATTAAGCCTGAATCGTTGTAAAAATGTTTGTCAGTCCCTCCTGTCCGACAAACGCGCCTGCCCATCTATCTGTTAATTGCTGTAGTCGACGTATTCATAAGCGCAGAAGTGAAACTATTTGCAAAAACATTGAAAGTCGTTGTACGCCAGTTGAAATTGGAAATAGGTCCTTATATTGTACTGTGGGCCAGTTCTTTTTTCGCTTGATCGCATCCCGGCTTTCCGGGGGCTTTGCCCAACGGCATGATATAAATTTGAACTTTTATTCTATAAAACAATAAGGGACATTGTAATTGGGCAATGCCGGCAATTAGATGCCCTACACCACTTCGCCTAATACAGTTATCCGCTCCTTTCGGTAATAATGCACCAAATATTACCCATTATTTTCATGCAAAGGCGCGCTTTTCATGAAAGCCCAAAAAGTAGATCTACGGGGTCTAATTTCACTAAGGTTGATTTCTATAGCAATTTACTATTATGGACTAATTTTGACTATGAAATATAAAAAGTTACGCTTTCTTACAATATAAAGATTAAGTTTTCGTAGGAACCATTATATGAGAGAGGCTTCAAAAAATTGCCACAAAAATTGAACCAAATAATATTAAAAACCGGGTTTGAAGTTATGAAAATTGCAATTTTTTTTCACATAACGATCTTCGAAACGAACGAAATTTCATTAAAATATCTCAAAAGTTGCGAACACAAAATACATAGACAGTCATCAGATGGACGGACAGGCAGACAGACAAGCTTTGGTATAATAAAAGATGCGTCTACCTTAAAGCCCTTGTAGACCGTCCACACAAACTTAATATATCCTACCTATACCACTTGTGGTGTAAGGTATAAAATTCCTTTTTTACAAGAAAAGCTTACATGAAACTTCCATTCGGTTGCGAATTGAAACCGAAATAGAAACAAGCTCAGCGCCAAGCTAATGGTTTCGAAAAGAACGTAAAATACATAAATGTATTGCGGTGACTGTCAAAATCGTTTAAGTAAAAAGTGTCTGCCTTTTTGAACAAATAAAGTTTAAATTTGTATTTTTCTTCCACTCTAACTAATACTTCAATATTCCTAAAGTTCCGCAATTTGTTTAGACTATAACGATTTAAGTAAGTGAAATATGTAAATAATTTTTTATTCGTTTTTTTTTTTGTTTTTTCTAATTCTTGACTTAGACAATTTTCATACATATCGGTATAAATATAAAATTTGTTTTATTTTACTTACCACACCAATTGGTATCAACAAACCGATTACATAAAGCATCCAACTTTTTATGGTTGAATCTTTAAAGGGATGCATCAGAGACTCATCGTCACAAAAGAAACCGCGTTTATACGGATCGCCCCATATAAAGAATAGCAATATTGGCAAACCGACTGCAACGAAAATACAAAAAGAAAAAAACAAAACAATGAATAGATTTAATAAACAATTGGTTTCGGTACAGCATTAAATGTAGAAAAGAAAAACTCATTAAAAATAAAAAATCTTAGAGAACTGAGTTAAAAACATCTAAAGAGATCATAAACATTTCAAAGCAACTTCCTCATTATTCACTAAAAACACGTAATACAAAAGAAGCGGGAAAATTTTAAACTTAAAAAAAAAAAAAAAATGAAATGATTTCGCATAAAACTTTATAAACAAAACTTTCTTTATAGAAAGAGGAAACAAAATTTCAAAATGTTTTCCACAGAAATCTGTGCACGAAAACTCATTATTTAAAGATAATGAAAATTAATTATTTACCACATAAATCTTTTATTAATAATAAGAGAAAGATTCTAAATTATTACTTAACAAGTAACGTAATGTTCGGCTTTAGTCAAATCTCTTATACCCACCCATCACCGTCATCTTGAAAAGGCTTAAGGAAAAAGTGAAAAAGCGAAAGTTCCATAGATGATAATATGGAATGGACTCGGTTGACTTTTATCATTTTTATACCGTTATTCATTTCCACGTATGGATATATGTGAAAATTTTCGTGATATGTCCAGTTTAAAGTTGATGTCTTCATTTTTTGGAATGTTTATCAAGGAGATCGCACAGATGGTCATACGGACATGCCCAAATCGATTGACAATTGGATGCTGATCAGCGATATGTATAGTTTTTAAGGCTTTCTTCTGGCTGTTGCAAAAGTCCGTCCTTCTGTGGAAGGCCTTCTCATACGCCTCAGAAGAAATGCTTACTTCATTTTTTCTTGTTGCTAGGATACGTAAGTAACATTAGGTTCACAAAACCAAATTTTCGACAGTTTATGATCAATGGCGACTTGAAAATTTCAGGAGAAAAAAACATGAAAAGAGAGAAAAAGTTCTTCACCAAACTGATTCGGCTAATGGGTGCAGCAGTACATTGCCAGACTTTGGTGATGTCGAAATTTGCGGGTCTACCGAGCTTATTAGAGAGTGTTTCAAATTTTTCACAACTCGAAAAATCTAAAAACAAACAGTTGTCATTCCATCCACGTGTTTGGTGATGCAAGCTGAGCTTTATGATTCGCTTAACCTCGAAAGCTGAATCTACTTTTATGACTTGGAAAATTTTAATGAAACGCAGTCGTGGGTGAATTCAATCGTATACAGGCCGAAGCGAAATCGCCCAACTTTGAGTAAGATCTCTCAAATTATAGGAATTAGAACAAGGCGATCATGATAAAATTTGCTCGAAATCTTGAAAGCGATAATATTGCGTTATCAGTGTACACTGGTGTCACTCTTTGTAAATGTAAAACTAAGTAGACTAAACGAATATGAAGCATTCAAGATATTTCAATTTCAACTCTTAATTACTTGGAATTAAATATAAAAATTTTTTTAATTAAAAAACTATAAAAAAAATTAAGGATTAATTTAATTCCTTTTAATTATCTCATTAAACGCAATAATAATTTGCAAACCTAGTTAATGCATAATAATAACATACAAATGCTGATTGTCTTCAAATTTCTTAATTTTAAGGCAGACAGAAATTCATTAGCAAGCAATATTTAGATGCCGTTAATACCCTAAATTAAATCATCATAAAAAGATTCTGGCAGTCGTCATATTTTATGCTACAATTATTTTTCATAAACTAAGACTATATAATGAGCGCCATAAGAGAACAAGACAAAGAGGACTGGTAATAAAGACCTTCTTCTTTGCTGTCTGTATGTATGTGTTTTCACTGCGTCAAGCATAGAAACATAAATTTCAATTATGCGTAATACCTGCAATTTTTAATCGCCTCCACCAGCCATACATGCCTACTAAAACATCATGATTGCTCGTTCGCTCATCTCTCCTTGCATGCAAGTACTATGAAAATGTAAAAAAAAAACACTGTCGCTGTATATAGAATAATAATTTAATGCCGCAGAAAATGTCATTTAATGCGAAAGAAAAAGCAAATGGTCTGAGGAAAATATGATTTTATGTTTGCTTGTTTGTTTGTTTGTTTGTTTTTTTTTTCTTCTACTATTTTTTATTTCTTAACAGGAACCACTACTTTCATGGTCAATGTCTTTCGCGCGCGCGCACTCGCCCGCCCTCTCCTGTTTATGTTTGCATGTGTGTGTGTATGTGTGTGTGTGTGTGTGTGTGTGTGTGTGTGTATGCTTTTCAGTTGTCGTGATAGGCAATTTGAAGTATGTATTTATGACTGCACTTGTATAAGCAAATAGAACTCATTAGCATAATGCGCGTATTGTCTTCTATAGAGTGAAATAATTCTTAGGATTTATTGTGCAAAGACCTGAAGAGTGTGTTAATTTGTTTTATTGTTTTTAAAAAAAAAAGAAGAAGAAGACTTCTTATAAAGACTCTATAAAGAATGCTAAAAATACGAACAAGAACAACGACGACAACCAACAACCCCCAAAAAAAAAGATTTTTTTGGAAAATTTCTTTGTTTGGAACCACTTCCACCCCCCGCTTTTTTTAAAAAGAAATTTTCTTATTGGAATTTTAATCCAACAACATTTCCGCATATTTTTTAGGGAGACGAATATTTGACATCCGCCACTTTGGATCATTGTTTGGATCAAGTTTTATTAACTGTGAACGTGTCAGTTAGTCTTTTAGCTACACAATGTCCTGCATACAATGTTAGGCTATGGAAAAAGTTCGTAGCGTTTTTCGTGATAAATGAGCGTAAAGTCAATCACACATTAGGTACATTTTTAATGATTCGTCAAAAATTGGAAGACATTAGCGGCAACATTCTGAGGTATCCAGTTGGGACCTTGCCTGGTTCGCTTACCTTTTATTTTTCTACCTGCAGAATTCTAGAAGTCACTTCGAGGGCGACCTATGAAAATCTTTTGGCTCAATTTTAAACTAGGATCCCTGGAATGATGGCATTACAAGTTTATCGATCAAAATGTCACTTAATTAGTTCAGTGAAGTTTATCTAAAACAGAAGCCAATTTCGATGGAACCAACTTTACGACGTATGCCTTGTTTTACTAGTACCACCCAGCTTAAGATCAATACCTGTTTAGGTTTGATTGTGACCATCTCAGGTATTTTTTCAAATTGTGTTCATTGGGTTCAGCTGAAAGTGTATATCTTAAGTTTCAATATTTGCGAAAAACAAGACAAGCCTGTTAGGCTTCTTTAAGGTTAGGCGTAATAGAATTAAGCAAAGCATGAAGAGTGCCAAGTATATCGCATAGAGGAGTTGATAAGAGTCGCGACTACCAAGTCGGCATTCGTGGGTTCAAACCTCAAGCAATATGTATCACGACCTAAGAAGATTGTACAACTTCTTAGATTCGGAACGTTAAACGATGTTCGCCGTTATAAAGTGTTGGCCAAACACCTGGTATCCGAGCCCACAGATGGCTGTGTATTCGTATAAGATATGATAGGAGGTTTCCTTCTTCCTCTCGCTGAATCCGCATGAATCGATATCCAAGCTAGCAATATTCTTCAGATGCTACCTGAGGGAGCTACAACTTATGTGGAATTCAGTTACGAGAAGTATATCGCTCCTTTATACTTTTCGGTATGCCGGAGGATTTGATGAATCTTTTAGCTCGCCGTTATCATATACTTTGCTTTCAGACCGATATTTGCTATATTATCCAAGATATGGAACTTTGACAGTTATGGACTCCATTGTGACCGTAGTATTTCCAAACCTATTTAATGGTATTTTATTAAAATCGCATATTCGCAGTCGCACCTTGAAATTTTTTCAATTCGGGCATAGTCGTTATCTCTCAAGAGCTTCTCATTCCAAATTCATAATAGTGAAGAGATTCTTATAAGGCATCTAAGAAAATATCAAGGGTCTAAAGATAAATACGAATTCACCTAGCAAAGACACCTACCATATCCCTAACAGAGCTCTGTAGACGCCTCCGTTTAAATGCGTTTCGCTTGTTTGAAAAGGATTTCCTTGCGGACTCACATGGCTTAGATGAATATCGGGGGTGTTTTTTGGTTTGGGCCATTGTCCCTTAGCCGGTATATGCTAAAATGCAAAATTTCACAAATCTGCTAAATATGGTCCTGGCAAGCCGAACTTGAATTTGTTGAGCTTGTATGAAAGGTATTCTTTGGGTAGATTCATTACGTATCCTAATTTGGACGGAGGGGGTCCGGCAACCCCAAGTATATCTTAATCATGTTAGGTGTCTTTGCTAGATAAATTTTGTATTTATCTTGACACCTTTGAAAATATATCAATGCCATCGTTTTTAAGGTCGGTTGTGGTTTATTCCAATTTGCTATTCCATAGACTTACTGAAGTCAAATTTTTTAACACTTCTTTATAGTGTCATTAAAAATATGTGTAGATTTTTATAGACTTTTATCTTGAACTCGAAATGTATAGGCAATCATTGTATGCGTTCAGCATATTTGCTTTATGATTTCATTAATTCTTTGCATAAAGCTTTTTATTGCAGAAAACATTTTATTATTGTAATAAATACTGCTTAAGTGAGGGTTTATAAACTTCTTTAATTGCTTTTGCAGTACCAAGAAATCTTATTCTAAATGATTAGAAGAGAATTCTTTTAAAACCGCTAGACATTTATGATTAGCTCATATAAAATACTTGATTTCCACTCATCTATTAAAAGAAAAAAACCATTCCAGGACCTATTGAAGGTAGACTGTAACGCACAAGCGTCTTCTTGAAATCATGTCTCTTCAAGTGTCTTCTTGAAATCAAGTCTCTTCAAGTGTCCTCTCGAAATCAAGCCTCTTGTTGTTGTCGAATTCCAGCATTATGTCGTTAAAGTTCCTATCGGGCAGTTCCTGCCATGGAACATTACTTTCAAATGAACCGAGTCCAATCAAGACTCCACATAACAACATGAACATTCTTGTTTGATTTATATATATATATATATAAACTATATATGTAAACTATACGT